GTGTGAGAAGCACTTCCAGCACCTATTCTCTTCCATTATTATTTTCCGGCGACGGCTTTGATCCGTCATCGCTCTGCACCTTAGAGATGAGTGGTTGCTCCTATGGCAGAAAATACACTTATCGCTGTCTTGGGGTCGTGGATGATTAGCCCTAGCAGCCCCGTTGGGTTGATCAGCGTAGCCTAACCTACACTCAACATATTGTTTCGCACTAATCTCTCCCTTTAACTGGGTCATTGAATCCTCAATTGTTTGTTGGTCTTCAGATTGACCATTTATCAATACGGGCTTTACTATGTCCCGCGGGAACTTTGCCAGTACGGTTTCATACCATATTGTCTCGCATGTTCTCCGCACGTCATACCCTGCGGAAATCATTTGGTTCACTAGCACCTGAATGTTGTCGAATACATCTGAGCAACTTTCAGCTGATGTAGTCGCAGGCTTCATATTTATCAGCTTTTGGACGATTTGCGCTCTATTTCCGGGTTGGTTATGGTAGTTTTTGTGTAGCGTTTCGATCATCCAGTCATAGTTGTCTGGAACTAGCCTTATGCCCTTGATCGAGTTTTGAGCCTTTCCTACTCAGTAGGAGTATCCTTTCCATAGTGTCCAATTCGGAGCTACTATGGACGAGTGTTTCGAAGATTGCCCAGTATTCTGGGAAATCTTCAGCACTACCGTGAAATCTCGGTAGTGACACTTGGGGAGGCTTTACGGGGCGGCAGGTCTTTTGCGGGATTGTTTGCGCAATATTTCCACCTAACGTAGTGCTTAGAGGTATACTACTTTCCGAAATGATCTCGATACTCTTTCCCGAGTTTTCTTCAGGATTAGCATTTGTAGACTCCCTCTCTTCTATATCAATCAATTGCAAGTTTTGGGCATTGCGCGAAAAGTAGCCTAGGTCAATTGCCATCCTATCTAGGGCACTTCTCATTTCATCTAATCGTGCCTCGAGCATGTAACCGAGCGCGTTCGCGTCGGTCATTATCGAGTGCATATTCGATTCTTCCTCGATTTGCTCTATTTCGAGCAGTAGGTCCTTTCTATCAGACTTATTTTTGCATGATTTATATTATTCCTTTATCTCATTGAAGCGCCTCTCTAGCTTGTCCCTCTTTTAGTAACCTAGCGCCGCTTTGTAGGAGCGCAATGGCGGACCTACACTTTCGTAGGACTCCTTATCTGAAAAAGGGTATTCGACCCTAGCAGAATAGGCTCCATAGCGTGTTACCAAGTTCTTTAAGGTATTGACATTAGCGAGAATGGGCTTTCTATGAAGCGAAGGGGCCATTGCTTTGTGTTGATTAAATTTACTTGTTATTATACTATTAATTGTAAAATTATGGTGGAATCTTGTTCGATTCTTCTTATGTTACTGAACCTCTTTCGTATCTGTTTTTGATTAACTACAAAAGTACCACGTTCGATTCTACTGTTCTGGCATAGACCAGAACCTGCGGTCACCACCGCTTCTTCGGGGAGGGGCTTAAGTAGGACATTCTCGACTCTGTCTTACCCGTAACAGGGGACTTCTCTCGCACAC